TTGTGTAAATGTAACAGACTTGGGTTCAGGCTCGGGCCCAAGTTACATCATTACTCATTGCCATTTCCTTTGCTGTGGCTATATGTGAAAGAATGGGAAGGCTTGAAATTTGTGCTCCTTTCTCTCTGCCATTTTGTTCAGCCCATTCTCCCAGGCTTCACAATTTGCTCAGCAGAATTACAGATGCAAACAAGCTTAAACGACCTAAAAACATATCTTCCATAGTCACAATGAACCACGAATGGAAGGTAAGAACTTTCCATCTTTTTGCCATTGCCTATCAGCATCTCCTTATGCCGAAAACAGCTTTTTGACATTATTTTTGGGGTTTTAGAAACTGAAGTCTGTTACATTTGCACCAACATGAGTAATCTATTAGACAACCCATAAGTGAAATCTTTATTTATTTTTATTCTATTTGGGGTGGTCTCTAGAGGGGGTCAACAGGGTAGTCTGCTGACCCGGCCTGTAGTTGGGGTCCACGGACAGTCTGTTTTCAGGTTACCTGAGGAAGGGGGTGAGGAGTGAGGGGCGAGGGAGATAAAGTCACAAGCACTTAGCAGTTCAGTGGCAGATCAGGTTTGGTTTGACTAGGAGTAGGCTTGGGGACTTGGTTTCCTTTACATCGAGTTTGCAAGAGTGTAGGCTCAAGCTTCTTGGTTTACTGTGTGAGATCCCTTTCATAACCACTAGACATGAATTAACACTTACATGTACCCTATATGCACCCAAAAGTGCAAAGGATGGTTCTGATACCCTGCAGGTTGGTATGTTAATGTTTTCTTTTTTAAAATCTATTTCAAAGTTAGCAAAAGCCAGGGTTTCTGATTGGCTCACTTCTGGTACACTTTTTGATCAAACAAATTCTTGCATAATAAACCAGCAAGGCTAAAAATAAATCAGCAATTATCACTGTCTAAAATCTCTTCCTAATAATACAGTTCATATATATGTAATTCCCTTTATGACAATCATGTGAGGAACATGGGTTGGAAGACTAAACTAACACAGAATGGGAATTTTTATGAACCATAGAATTCCTGTCAGGCCTTTCAAACCAATTTGTCCCCTCAACTGAGATGGATTTTACACAAAAATTTGTCCTTGGAATCAAAAAGCATGTACTAGAAAATTAAATTAGCAATTAGAAGTGGATACATACATGTACATGTAGATGAACATCCGTGCAAACCAGTGGGATATGAGAACAAGTTTTTGGGACCCTGTTTTTACAGACAGACTATAACTTAACTGTTTCTACAATGGTGTGACATGTCTGGCTGCACTGAATACCACTGTGCTATGTTTACACATACAAATCATGCAGAACTTCAGATGTTTTACAGCATTTATTTTTGAGAGTACACTACATGCCTCCTAGAGCGGTTTTCTATCGAGTGTTGAAAGTAATCAAGCAATTACTTTGGTTTTGGTTTTGGTCATACTACAGTTTGAGATTCACTGAATGGTCTAATCAGTAAGTAATTGGTTTGGTTTTGGTTTTATGATACTCAATTGAAAACTGCGTCTAGCAAGTAGTTAATTAAAATGAAACATTCATACTTTTTCTTCCTCATATCACAATTATCCAAGATAGAAATCTCAAAGTGACATATCAGAAGACTCAAGGAGAAATTTTAGGCATGTGTGCAGAGAAGTAATGGATTTTTCATATTTCTTTTTCATGTTTACAATGTAATTTGTTGATCAATTTTTTATTTCATTAGCTGCTTTTAGTGTGATCCCAAGGACATGTAGTGGGCTTTCAATGTGTAGAGGAAGTGAAGTTCAAATGAGACTTCAGTTTGAATATCACTCAAATGACTCACAAGAGAGATTGGTCAACAGGCATTTGAAGGAAGAGTTGAGTGAGTTAAGAAATGGATGTCACAGTTTCTGTTGCCGGATGTGTGGCTCTGCTGTTTTATTACCTGAGACGTAAGTGCAAATTGATTTCCTAAATACAAGAAAGTATGTTTGTGCCATATTTGTAGTTATCCTAAAATATCTTTCCTTCAAGAGAGGCGTTACAGAAATCAATCAGTCTGCAATGTAAACTACCTGGAAAAACACTGTTATTAATATTAGGAAAACTTGAAAACCAATTCTTTCTAGGATGAGATGTATTCTTTTTTTCAAGGCAGTTCAAAAGGGTGCTGGAGTTACCATCAGAAAACTGGCTTGAATTGGCTCAAGACTGGTGTTGTCATGGAAACAGTCATCTAACTTCTGTTGCAGGAGTTCTTGAACCTGGTGAAAAGGACTGTTTTGTTGGTGAATACTACATTAAACTGCATAGTTCAACTATAAAGCCTGGCAGTTTGCAGATTTTACCAGTAAGTAAAAAATAATAAATTATTTCTAAGGATTTATTGCATAGGCTAGATTTGCAGCCATTTTGCATGCATGTGTATGACCACTACTCCTTCATAATTCAGTGATCTAGGGATCCAGAGATCCAATGATTTGGTGTATAACATTACTGTTCTAACTATTTACTGATTTGAGTAGTTTCCAGTGAACAGTGTTTCCACCATTTTAGCAGAAGTTGAGGCCAAAATGGCCTATTTAATGTTGCACTTTTTTCACCTGGGACCACTTGTTTTTACTGTGGGCCCAAATTGGATCTAGTAGATAGTATACAATATGCAATAACATGATTTTCAGTTCTATACAATCTAAAATTATATTACATTGTACATGCTCATTCAAGACCATATGTGCAGTGTATGCTTGTATTCCGTGTTTTTGAATTCCGTTACACTCATTTTGTCTCTTGGCCAGGGGGAAGAACATTGCCCTTTGAAATGCTGTAGATGCAATTCCATACTAGGGAACATTATGGTTGAGGATTCAGGTCTTGATGTGTTGGATGTTAACTGTAGTGATGCATTTAGCATACACCTCTACAAACACAGTGTCAGTTTGAGATCTAGCAACTTGTTCAGGTATTGTCTTTCTTATTCTTATTCAATGTACTAGAATCCAAAACAAGTACATGTTAACAAACTTCCAAAAGAAGAGGACTGAAATAAATGAAACCACTTTTTTGTTCTGTTTTTTTTTTATTGGTGGTTCAGTCATCTCATTGTAATATTTTTGTTTGATTCATTGTTTTGAACTTTAGAACATATTCTTTCTCACTGCAGCAGTAGCAGCTGCTACTAATAGGATAGTCAGAATTTAGTATTCTAAAACTGGCGGTCTCCTGCAGTCAGCATTTTCATCCTCTAATGAGCGTGTTGTTTGCTTCTATAAATTATGATCACCATTTCCTCAATGAATTCTCATCTATACATTGTAGCATTGGAGTATATCATTTATAGGAATATTTTCTGATCGAAATTAGTATCCCTTGTATTCTGTTACATATGTCAATAAACTAGACTAAAAAGTGAAGCTTTGGAGCCGACTGGCTCATACCTGCCAGAGCTTATCCTGGTTTCTGTAGCATGAAGCGGCTACTCCTCCTACTCCTCCTGGATGGGATGCTAGTCCATTGCAGGCCACTCCCCTGCAATTTGTTAGGTTTCCCCAACAATTCACTGGTACCCTTTTATANAACTTTAGAACATATTCTTTCTCACTGCAGCAGTAGCAGCTGCTACTAATAGGATAGTCAGAATTTAGTATTCTAAAACTGGCGGTCTCCTGCAGTCAGCATTTTCATCCTCTAATGAGCATGTTGTTTGCTTCCATGAATTATGATCACCATTTCCTTAATGAATTCTCATCTATACATTGTAGCATTGGAGTATATCATTTATAGGAATATTTTCTGATCGAAATTAGTATCCCTTGTATTCCGTTACATATATCAATAAACTAGGCTAAAAAGTTAAGCCTTGGAGCTGACTGGCTCATACCTGCCAGAGCTTATCCTGGTTTCTGTAGCATGAAGCGGATAGGAGTATTCCTACTTCTCCTGGATGGGATGCTAGTCCATTGCAGGCCACTCCCCTGCAATTTGTTAGGTTTCCCCAACAATTCGCTGGTACCCTTTTATACATCTGGGTGGAGAGAGGCACTGTGAGAGTAAAGTGTCTTGCCCAAGAACACAACACAATGTCCCCTGCCAGGGCTTGAACCCGGACCGCTCGATCCGGGGACGAGCGCACTAACCATGAGGCCACCGCGCCTCCACATAATAAACTAGACTAAAATAGGTAGGATATTCTCAAAAGTATCTGCCTTCGATACCCTTACCCACCCTCTAGCTATTAGCAAGAATTATGTGGAAGATACAATTCAAGTGTTTGTGTAGCTACATGTATTTACGGTATGTTGCTATCTTTTATTGTGCCAATTCTTTTTTCGTAGTGAATCCTGTTTTCTTCTTCTCCAGGTCATATTGTGTAGAAACCTTTATTTCTAGTTGTTTAATTTCCAAGTCACAAGGTGCTGTGAACTTCAGGTTTCTTATTCAAGAATCCATTCAAAATGGCATTAGACAGCAAGCACATGTCTGTGTAAGTCATGTTTTATTTTTATCACACGGGAATTTTAAGATGTCATATAAAGAATTTGACTTTAAGGGCCCATTAACTGATCTTTTCGAGCCCATCGCTAAGGAAAATTTATTCTCATATAATCTCATCATTTTCAGTTGGTTCAAAGTTATTTGATGTGTTTTAACTTTTTCATAATCAGTAACACTAGTGATGACGTCATCGTGCCACGCGCATGGTCATGTGACTAATACTGAAAAAATCTAAAGGCTCCCTGGCAAATTACTTGATCRGGATTTTTTTCATKGATTTAATATTTTGATTTAAATCCTCATTACGCTATGCATAGATTTTGCTTCATTTCTAAAAGGTCAGATTTTGAGAGAATTTCAAAATATTAAGAAACTCGTAATTTTGGGAATAAAGCATGATTTCGAAAAAAGAATGCATAGCTATATTTCCAACGTTGGCTTTAATCGAAATTCGTTGGAAAAGGCTAGATTTAATGAAAAACCACTTTTCCTTTAGCATTTAAAGAAACCGGAAGTGCGCCCGATATATATTGGAAGTTACCCTATCAGCGCGTGCGCTAGTTACACTACCAGCGCACTTCGGTAAGATCAAACAAAGTCACACGGAGTTAGCTTTTTTCTTTCTATTGCTCTTGTTTTTCTGTCTTTCTCTTATTTTGTCTTTGCTTGTACTTTTTTTTTGCACAAAGAAAAACACCCAAACTGTAAGCGAATTTGCAAGGTATTGAGTTGTTTTTATTTTCCGCGCTCAGGCTGACCTCCTTAGCAACGCGCGCGAGCGCGCACATGAATCGGTTAATGGGCCCTTGAACTAAAGACAAACTAGGATTATGACGACAATGCGTTATTTTTCATGAGATGATGCGTTTCATTGGCTTAAGACAGCAACAATGATTGAAGTTTATTTGTTAGAAATATCGATTCCGTATCTTCCTTTTCAGCTTTGGCTTTTTAATGCAGATACCGCGGTCATTACAAATGTAGAGTCGTTGAAGGCTTTTGTCAAAACTGGCATTTATTCTACCAGGAACAAAGGTATTAATTAATGTGATTTTACTTCAAGGACTGATTTAATTTTATCCATCACTCTGAGCTGTATGTACCTATATAACGTATCGTTTCATGTCGTGGTACGTACCACTTGGAGTGTAATCTTTTTGTTTCATTGATGCCATGCTCTGCAAAGATTTATTTTATTTGCAAAAGAGAGAACTGGAAGACGATATTTGTCGGGCAAAGTATGATGCCTGATATCAGTTGGCCGCTAAGCCAATCAAAACTTTGGAAATCCCTCATCCAATGCTCAGTTTTTAAATAGTGGCTTCTATCCAATGGCTTATAAGTAGATAAAAGCTCCGGAATACATTATCCAGTGCTCCAGTTTTTTTTTTTTTAAGATGGGGTTGTAAATAGTAATATGGAAATTGTCGTAACTATCAAGAAAATGGTCTGTTCAATACGCGGACTAAACTGAAGTAGTTGACGAATTTTCCGCACTGCTGGAAAAATTCTACTCGTTAGAATAAGACTATCAATCGCAAGAAAAAACACGATTCACATATAAATATACAAAGTTTGTGGTCGATTTTTTTCTGTTTATTCGCAGCCAAATACTCACGGGTGTTGAAGATTCTTTACAAGATTAAATCGTCCTTTAGTGACCCTGATTGGTAAGTACATATGTACTAAAGGCTGATTTTCACAAGCGCATATAGGCATAAGCTGTCATGCGCAGAAGCAGTATGATGTTGGCAATTAGTGCCTTTATTTATGATAATTTCCCAACAAAAAGCGCAACTTAGCAGCATTCTTCCGCGTCTGCGTTGCTTATGTTTATGCTTGTGAGCTAGTGACTACCAGCCTTAAGAGTCGAGCTAGTCTGATGCTCATCATCATGTTGAGAACGTACAAAAGATGCCTTGAAAGCGATAAGAATTTTTCATTTTTTAAAATGTAAAAGTTCAGGTCTAAGAATGGTGGCCTTAGAATGTACGTTTTTGTTCATTCTCCAGTTTGGAATGTTCAATCAGAGAAAATGAATTTTCATCTTGAGTAAACTGTATTTGTTTTTCATCAGAAGGTAATTTTTCGACTTTTTTACCTTAAAATAGAGTCTATTTTAATAGATTGAGTTCCTTATTTTTATAGGGACGATGAGGTAGATACATGGCGAGAGAATTCCTCAGTTCAGCTTCTCACGTTTGCAAAGGAGACTTGTCTACGTCTTATTCTTCTCCTGGCAGAGAGCACGAATACAATAGCGCCGTCACTGCGAAATATGAATGGTTTTAAGGTACGTTACAAATACTGTCTGGGAGAAACTGTCAAGAAATTATTGTAATGCAGCAATGTCTTTTGTTTGGGGTTTGGCTCCTGTCGGACTAGTGTCTACATTTGTCTATAATGTCTACATTGATGACTTCTGAGAGTTAAGAACGAATTTGATCCACAGCTGCTAAGACAACGACGACGCTCCCAGTCACTTTTACATGGGAGTTCCCCAAGGTTTTCATACGCCTTCATTGTCAGGTCACGTGTCTGATTATACATGTAACACCAAAACGAATGTCGTCCCTTCTTTGCGTGGTACTAGTAGGATGTCTCTTAGTCTCCTGGATTTCGTGATTTTGACACGAAAATGAAGCATTATCAGCTATTTTTCTATTACCTGATCACGTTACCACATTTTTCCATCACACAGCACTTACATTACTTCTCCATCGTGAAACCGGGTGTACACACAATGTAGTTGTACCCCAGATAGTTTTCGAAGGGTTCCTTTTGCACTTTACATGTATTACTCCATTTTACTACCCATGGGCAGTACAACTTGCACAATTTTTAAAGTGTATTTGATATACATTTTTTAATTACTTGATGGAATCCACAGGAGATCATGACGGGGAAAAAGAAATTGATATCGTTTTTCCTCACCGCGTTTTGGCCATCTGAAAACGTGAAATTTCCTTTCCGGTTGGGTTGGAAACGACGG